GGCACGCGGATAGATACACAGACACACACACTAACACACATATCTATCCATAGACACACTGATACACATACAGATACACATATAGACACACATGCAGATATACTAATACACATACAGACAAAGAGATAGATACATAACCACACTGATAGACATACAGACACACAGATATACACATACAGACACACATACTAATACACAGACAAAAGCAAAAAACTATTTTTTAGCCACTCGCTGGGTTCCTACCTTTTGGGTGCAGGAGCACGACTTCCATGCAGTCCAGTTTGCTGGTTAAGGCTGTTGGGAGTCAGAGGCCCTCAAAGTGTGCGCTCTGATCCTTTCTATACTATTCCTCCCGTGCGGCTCAGTGTTATGTGAACTGCCATAATTAAAGGGACTCGGTTGCACTATTAAAGGGCTGTAGCGCATGACTGGGCCTCTGAAAACACATTGCCATCAGTTGACCCTAAGTGCATGGGCCACTCAATCGGCCCCCTCAGCAGCTGCACCTGTCGTAGTCACTGACTAAGGATTCTTAATTACTTAGCTTGATATGTGTACCCTGTTCTTACTTCCACACACTGCTGCTCTACTAATATAACTCTGCTATATTTTAACACCTCTTGTATAAGTGAAGTGTCTGGTTGCAGTGTACCCCATGTACCCTCCTTAGCACACTGCTGCATTTCAATACCTGCACTATGGATACATACAATTCACAGCATAAGAGAAAATAAAAAAACAGCACTACCAATCAGTGAAGAAAAATATCTTCCTACTGTAGTCTCAATCTGGAGATTAGTTAAACCAGGGTAAAGCAATAAAGTGACATTACAAGAGGCTCAAAGTATTTGGGAAATTAAACACACGTGACAGGAAGTGGGATCTCACAAAATACATACGTAAGACAAAAGTGTGTACCTCTACAGAAGGAATTTGGACAAGAAAAGGACCAGGAAGAACAGGACTGGGATCAGGAGAAATGTTTAGAAAGAAAGTTTAGGGAACAGAGAAAATCAACAGGTAATATTGGAGAATGTAAAACTTTAAATGCTTTAATGAAACATTTAAAAAATATATATATTTGTGCATTGAAAAGTTACACAGGTGCTTAATTTGTTCCAAAAGATTTAGCACCGTGTGCAGCATTGAAATGTTGTTTTTAATACTGATTTACTTTTTTCGAAAACATTTTATGTCCAGATGTACAAAATTGCCCTTAGTACACAAGCCCTGCAGTTGTCACATCATTAACAAATCAGGAATGTGTCAAGTAAAACTGTTCACTGTATGAAACACTTGCTCTGTGTGTTAAGAAAGTGAAGTATTAACCTGGAGAAAAACGCTTCTCGTCCTCAGCACCATTTATTTGTAATCCGGTTGGAGTCGTTGGTCATTCTGTTTGCACAACCCAATGGAAAATAGTGAGAAAGATAAATATGACTCCTCTTCTCTACTGCAGATAAACTGATCATGGGCTCATAAGTAAGGGGTTGATTCCATTACATTGCATTTTTATCAGATACTTTCCAAACTAGACAATTTTTGCACGTAAAAACTGTCATGGTTATATTAATGCGTCATATCCCAACTATGAACTCTTTCCTGCCAGGTCATCAAACATATGCAATTTCTGGTTCACAGAATTTACTGCCACATCATTTTTATTAATGTTGAGACCTATGTTGCTAAAGGCAGAAACAATGAGTCATTTCTGACGCAAACACCCATTGCTTCTCTGCCATGTCACAACATTATTGTATTGCCCTTACCAGTTATTCAATTACCAGGCCATTCTCTTGCCATGCTTATTATCCTTGCTTACTGTGATTCTAGTTAGCCCCACAAATTCCAGGTTTAATCATGGCCTTTCATTATTATCACTAAGTTGAGTGCAATACTAGGAGAGAACAATACACCTCCATTGACCTGAAACAATGCCACTTTAATTCACCATATTTGGAGTTAATTGTACAGCACAGTGTGGGGGTATGGCAGTGGGTGCAAGATTTTAATGCAGTGGGTGTATATTTTTTGCTGAATGTTTGAGTTTAGTGTTTGGTTAATAAAGTACATGTGGACTTTATAAATATATGTTTATAAAGTAGGAATTCATTCTAAGATTGTGTCATAATATGATTCATTCATATAACAAGTTAAGATTTAGGGTTTTGCTATAGGGTGGTGTTTGGAGAGGGGCTTAATCTAATATACAGATATGTGGTAAAGATCATAAAAATAACTTTTGGATCATATTTTTGCCACCCATCAACACCCCTGTGGTACTTGGCATCAGTACAAATTATAGACATCATAAGGGGTCATCTTAACTTCATTGACAGTTTTAGCAGTGACTCCTAAGTTGGGATGCTATGGCTGCCCTTTGCCATTCCACCATCCTATGGACTTTTAAAATGAAGGCTGAGAAGAAAAAAGAAAGTTCCCAAAACATTATAGTAACAGCAGGGAGTTGCTGGTGAATCTTTTTATGGAAAGTCACAAGGTTGAGGTCTAAGGGTGCTGATGAGATGGTGGAGAGAAGATCAGAAAGAGGGAAATTAATTGAGGAAGAATGAAAGTGAAGACAGGCAACCAGCAGAGTAGAATGGAGACTGCTCATTTTTATAAAACACAACAGGCAAGAGTCCAGAACAATGTGAGTTATAAAACAGTATTGTCAGAATTTTATTTTAAAAATGTATGTATTGGCATTTTTGAGCTATGACTTAATTGTTCTGTATGTCCTTGAGCAGGTGATATTGTAATGCTTTTCTGAGTCTGACAACCAGGTATGGAGGTTGCTCAGAATTATCCAGTGTACCAAGCAGATGCTCTCTCTTAAAGAATGTAATAGTTATTTCCTGTTATTGGGCATTCTCTTTTTATCTCTGTCTGAAGTTATTTAGGTAAAATAACTTTCTCATTCTTCACTCTTCACCTTGGCTTTTGTTGGCCACAGAGGACATCAATTTCCTACTTGAGACTTTCAAAGAAAGCAGCAACAAAATGTAAAATAAATGGAGCCCTTGGTTTACCGAGCCTCATGATCCATAAATATCCATTTTACCTCTAGCGGTAATTAAAACCCCTTTAGCAATTTAACACATCAAGAACAAGGAGTTGCAGTAAAAAATAAAATAAGTGACACAGATTGTGTTTTACATATCAAATCTCATTTAAAAAAATCTTCTTAAAAATGTTCGCAATCTGTTTGCTTCTCCATGACACAATGATTGACACCTGGACTAATATCTCTATGGGTGGTCCAAAACAGAGTGTTTTTGCTCTTGGCTATTAACATTAAAACAGACAATCTTTGGCATCTGTAATACTAATGTGTTGCTGCTATCACTAGGGACAAATAGTTTATTTTCTTCTTTTTTTTTTTTTTAACCCAGTTAAAGTAGTCTTGAAATAAACAAAATTCTATTACATTAATAATCCCTAAATGATAAAAGAGGACCTCATTTAAAAAAAAAAATCAGATAAGCTAAAACCCATTATTAAAAATTAAAACTCATGGCCCCAAACTGCCTTAAAGAAGCCAATATATTTCTTTTGATTTCCACACTAGATATAAAGGAATTACAAAGCTTTAAAAAGATCCAAATCAGACTTCTGGTAAGGCATCAGAATTCATGGGCTTTACACACAGAGAGTTGGTTCTTCAATGAATGTAGAACTTAAGTTGGGGCAATCTTTGTTTAGCTAGTCACTTTGTGAATCCCATGAGGAAACATCAAATATTAAGTCCAGTCAAGCAAATATATGGTGTAACGGCTACCCAGTTAGTAAGAGGGTATCAGCCGTTGGAAACGTCCTTTTTCCCCTGGCAAGTTGCTGTGTAGTGGTGGAGTTGCTTATTCCCATTCACTGGATCCAAGGAAAGAGTCAGGCAGAGCTCTTAAAAGAGCTAGGTGATTAAGCTGCATATCCCCTTTCAAGAACGAGACAAGGCTACGTTTTGAAGGGTCAAGAAGAACTGAATTTTAATGGCAGATATTCTCCTTTTATGTGATGCTGCCCATGCAAGGGAGACACCCACACAATTAACACAATAACCAATAAAGCATAAGGTACAACCCACACATCTCCTCCCCTCAGATAAGCCTGTAACACAATTAATAAGGTTAAATTTTTCCCCAAGTATCTGTATAGCCCTACTCTGGGGGAACAACATATTTAAAAATCATCTCATTCGGTTCAGGGGTTCGGGCGATATGACACTTTAAAGTTTTGACCGACCGCACAGGCACAAGTGCCAAAAACAGTTTCATAAGTTTTGGCCTTGCGGTCGGTCCTTGTTCGTGGGTAAAAAGTCCTGAAAGGCGGGGGGCGGAGCCTGGCATCCAGACTGAGCGGTTGTGCTGAACCTCAGCTCCCGCTCTACTTGACAGTTTTCTGGGGTATTTCCCCGAAAAACCGGCACAATCGCCCACTGGAGGGCAGCTACAATGACGGGGACACCCGGGGGAATCACCCGACACCAAAACCAAGCCTGTAACCTCCCGGGGACCCGACAACACACCCTGAGGCCTGTCGGAGGTCGAGCAGCGGGGAGACGGCCGCTCCCTGCGCTGACTGGCCTGGACACAGATCCCTCGGGGTTGCCGACACCTACCCCCCCCCCTCTGGACCGACGGGGGTCATCTCGGTCCACAACAGGCAACAGGAGAGGCAGTCCTAAGCGGATCACAGAGCCAGCTACATCACGACACAATGGCAGCCGAGCACATGGCGCACCCAAAATGGCGGCGACACGCACACCAAGTGAGCCATGCTGCACACCCGAAATGGAGCCCCAAAGTGAAGATATGCGGCGCCGCTTTTGTCCGGTTCTGGCATGCCTTAAATGAGCGGCTACATGCTCCTCAGGCCGCACAGCAAACCCTGCCGGGACCGAGTGAACTGCACCATCCCCACGGGGAAAAGAGCAAGGTACCACAGCACAGGCGGGCGGGATGCGGGAAAGGAGATGGGAGTAGAGGACAGGGGCGCCCCACGTCGGACAGGGCCATAGCCCCCAAGCTACCAACCCGCCAACCGCCGCGCAGGATGAGAATCCACCGCCGCTGGCGGCGATGTCACAGCAAGAACACCGGCTATCCCTTACCACAAAGACAGAGAGCCCGAGCAGACGGACTCACTATGCTGCCCATGCCTACCCACCAAACCGATCGCCCACCTGAGGTGAAGGAGAAACTCTCGCCGCAGTCAAAGCAGGCCACCTCAAGCACACACATACTCCAGTCAAGGGAAGGGCCTCGCACTACAGAGCACCCAAGCCTGTGGACTAACAACAATTACCCACACATGGGCCAGAGGCTGGAGGAGAAACCAACGCACATCACCTTGGCTGCTGCTCACAGGGACTTTCCCAAGCCTGTTCTACCGCTGAGGGGAATCGGCTGACTGAGTACCCATCCCCGCAACTGGGACGTACAGTAGCTTAAAAAGGTAGCTGAGCAATTGACTGTACCTGCAAAGAGTCCCTTAATTTCACGCTGCTGCCATATATTCCATCCCGCTCTATATTGAATTTACCTAAACAACCATTATCACCGCCGTTAACAGGGATCGGCTGATCCTGACGCTGGACTTACCGCTAGATTCCAGAGCTACATGCCAGAGACATAACGCTGAGGGTCCAGTGCCAGTACCTACGGCTGGCTTACCACATTGATCGCCGCAACCGTAATGTTCATATACTAACCTGGTTGCTCTGATGCGCTGGCTGATGCTCCCACCTGTATAGTAAAACAACTAGAAAGTCCCTACATTAGAATGCTTTGCTTTTGATTTAGTTTAACAACACCTGGCCCATGACTGGCACATTACTATTACACTAAAGTAAAGGCAGACTTAATGCTGATAGCTTGTTATTGCATAATAGTCTACACAAGCGCAGCACAACCTGCAGGCACATCACACACAAGCCAACTACTGATACACTGCAAATTGTGCTGCCACTCTACACCTATGTAGATGTAGCTAATCTAGTACTGTTCAACGTTGACTAAGTTATATTTTATTTTGTTTTACTTTAATCTAACGATTTCACTGTCTAACCAAGCTTGTTACCATTACAGAACATGTGTAATCTCTTAAGCCACTGTCTAATCTTAGTACTTCGTTCAACACGCTGTGGTGGCGTCAGTCAATAACCTGTGGGAACGAGTCGTTGCATCTGAATGTTAGACCTCTTAATTATCGTTACCCTTCCTATTTAAAAAATGTATGCATACCCTACATGCCACAATACTGTTATAAAATGTGTTACGTAGTCTTTCTGGTAGTCGTTTGGTAGTTTTGGCATGGATTTCTGGTAGTCTGGAGGTTTCAGCGGTGTTCGCCTACTCGAGTGTCCGATTTTAGTTCCAGGCACTCGACGTCAAAACACCGCTGGAGTCAAGATGGCCACGGCCAGGTGTAAAAGGTACCGAAATGGTGGCCACCCAGGGACTTCAATAAAGCGGTAGTGTGTTTGCAATTACACATGGATTCGCCGATCAGGAAGGTAAATAATTCAGCACAATTATGTATCAGGGGGGTCCGGTGTTCGGTAGTTTGCATTCGTATGATGAATGCAGTGTTCATACAGTGTTAGGTGCGCCATTTGCACGAATGCTTTAAAAGTCCCAAAAAGCTTTGTAGAAAATCCTCCCGAAAGTAACTGAAAACCTCCAGCTTGTAAGCAGCTTGATGTCCTTTACTAAAGAAAAATATATATACTTTTAATCCGAGGTCTCTGTTCCCGTATATGTCCCTGGCTACTTCTTAAAGGGCCAGTAACAGGAACATTCCCAGGCACATGGCAGGGTTTTGTTTCATGGCTCCCCTTTGTGGAACACCCCGGCAGACCCGCCTTGATCCTTTTCGGGTCAACTTGGGGATGTCCGGCCGCCTCAGGGATTCGGTAGGGGGTCTGTCTCAGGGGGTTTTGTCCCAGAGTCTCTACGTAGTGGGTTGCTAGCGTGGTGTACCCAGGTTTTTGGGAGAATGTTAATCCTTTTTTGGTTAGCAGCTGTCTGATCTGCCCCTTTTCTACTGGGTTTAACAGCTCCCCTAGTTGGACCGTACTGAGCAAATTATTGGGCCCCGTGCGCGCTAGCAGATCTGGGATAGGTAGACTGTCGGGGTCCTCTGTAGCAGGAATACATATGGCCGCAATGTCCTCTGGCCTCTCTTGATATTCCTTCAGCAGGTTAACATGGAAGGATTTCTGAATCCTTTCATCCTTGTTACTGGCAATCACATAGGTAGTGTCACAGACTTGCGCCACCACCTTGTAAGGGCCTTGCCAGGAGGTCTGGAGCTTATTCCCTTTAACTGGTCTAAGCACCAGGACCTTCTGTCCCACCTGGAATGATCTCTGCCGGGCGCCCCGATCATGCCATCGTTTCTGTCAGCCCTGGGCCGCATGGAGATGGTCTCGTGCCATCAGAGCTAACTACTCCATGAGGTCCCGTATCTCCAGAACGTATGGCGCAATGGGGACACCCTCATGTTCCATCTCTCCTTCCCAGTGCTCCCGGATGAGGTCGAGGGGGCCTCGAACTCTCCTTCCATAGAGCAGCTCAAAAGGAGAGAACCCAGTGGACTCCTGAGGTACCTCTCGATATGCAAACAAGAGGTGCGGCAGGAATCGCTCCCAGTCTCTGTATTCAGCTGTATAGGTCTGCAGTAACTGTTTCAGGGTACCATTAAAGCGCTCACAGAGACCGTTAGTCTGGGGGTGGTAAGGTGAGCTGAGAAGGGTCTTAATACCGCAGACCTTCCATAACGGTTGGGTTAAGTCTGCAGTAAACTGAGTCCCTCTGTCAGACAGTATTTCTTGTGGGAATCCCACTCTTGTGAATATCCCGACCAAGGCACTGGAGACAGTGTCAGCCTGGATATTCGTCAGAGCTATGGCCTCCGGATAATGGGTCGCATAGTCCACCACATTAAGAATGTATTTCTTACCGGATGGACTGGGGTAGGGTAGGGTCGACTGCTACCCTGCAAAATGGCTCTTCGATTATGGACATGGGTGACAGTCAAGCCCTAGGGTGATCCCCTCTTTTCCCTACTCGTTGGCAGACGTCACATGTGCTGCAGTAACGCCGCACATCCTTCGAGAACCCTGGCCAAAAGAAGGTCTGGGTGATCCTGTAAGTGGTGCGGTTACCACCCAGGTGTCCTGCCAAGGGAATATCATGGCCGATTCGGAGAAGTTCCAACCGGTACTTTCTGGGTACCACTAGTTGGCGCTTCTGCGAAGGGATACAGCCTCTCTTGCTACCTTCGGTTAACCTGTACAACCTGTCGTTATCCCATATAAAACGTTCCCACTAGTCCCTCACACTGTCGGCTATTTCCCAGTACCTTTGGAGGGTTGGATCCTCTCTGGTTTCTCTCCCAAACTCTTCTGGGGTATCCCAAGCTAGAGGTCTCTTGGGTCTAAGGGTCGGTTCATTGCTTACCTGGGCCTCCCGTCCTGGTGTAGGGTCGTCTGCAGCATGGGTCTGTGATCAAGTGGTCACTGGACAAGCAGCAGTGGTTGTGGGTAGATAGGCCGAAGCCAGAGGGCCACTATCATTGCCAAACACGACTTCGACAGGCAGGTTGTCCATGATGCCCACAGTGGTTTTCCCAGACCCGACCCCCCAGTCCAGGTGTACCCGGGCAGTAGGTAGGCGGAACACAGCCCCTCCAGCCACATGGACAGCAATGGTGTGATTAGACAAATGTTCCAGTTTGACTAAATGCCTTTGCATCAGGGTGATGGTAGCAAGCCTTGTCCCTCAAGCCTTGTGCCACCTGTCCATTTACTCGCACCTCCTGGCGGTGATGCTGATGGTTGTCGGGGGATGCAGCCTGGATCGGGTCTACCTCATATAGGATGCCCTTCCTCCGGGCCCATCTCGGTCTCTAGGCAATGTGCGGCAGAGGTACGAGGTGAGGTGGTCTCTGTGTTGGGTGAGGTGCACCTCCAATTGGTAGTGGAGGATCCCAAGGTGCAGAAACGGGCAATATGCCCAGTGTTGCTGCACCGATGACAAGTTGTTCTAGACAAATCTCGGGGGTAGTTGTTGGACCCCTGGGGACGAGACAGCCCTGGGGGTACAGGAGCACGGAACTCCGGGCGAGGTACGGTAGCTTGAGTACGATGTTCTACCTTGTTAGATGGGTGAGGGGTACTTTTGCTCACTTTTCTCGTTTCGGCGTACTTATCTGCCAGCCGAGCCGCATCGTTTAAGGTTATGGGGCGGCGGTCTCGCACCCAGTCCTGTAAGTCGGCAGATAAGTCCTGGAAGAAATGTTCCATTAGAAACAACTGTAAGACTTCCTCCCCGGTGTCTGCGTGGCAAGCCTTGAACCAGAGGGATGCCACTCATTGTAGCCGGTTAGCCCATTCCATGTGGGAGTCCACAGCCTTTTTCTTGTCTCTGGAGTCACGGCATATCTAGTGAGGAGGGCATTCTTGACCCGCTGATACTGCAGTATATTCTCTGGGGTGAGAGCCCGAAATGCTTTGTTCGCTTTGCTGGACAGTTTCCCGGACATGATAGTAACCCATTGCTCTGGGGGTACTTGATGCAACGAGCACTGTCTCTGAAAATCTGCTAAGTAGCCATCAATCTCATCTTCGTTCTCCTCAAACGTTTTAAATGCTGTGAACGGGACCTTCTTTTCCGTGTTGGTTGAAGGGGGGGTCTGAACTGGGCTGTTGTGCTCTTACCAGTTTGATTTCATGTCCCCTCTTCTGCCGAATCTCTGCTGTCACTTCGAAGAACAGCCGCTCAATCAGTTCAACTGACATTGTTGGGTACATGGCTAGTCTCCTCTGCACAATGCGGGTGATGTCGTCTTCTTCGCTGATCGGTGCCAGGGGTTCGGTGACTTCCATGGACCGATCCATTTCGTCCAGTTCCAGTAGGTCGGCTATCAGCTCTCTCCGTGGTCTGTTACTGGACTCTCCGTCCACGACTCTCCGGTAGATCCTTCAGTGTGGATCTCTTCAGTCTGTCATACTGAGACTCCATTCAGCACTTACTCTGTGGATGAAAGGACCATCCCACCGCTTGCCACCAATGTAACGGCTACCCAGCTAGTAAGAGAGTATCAGCCGTTGGTGGCAAGTCGCTGTGTAGTGGTGGAGTTGCTTATTCCCATTCACTGGATCCAAGGAAAGAGTCAGGCAGAGCTCTTAAGAGAGCTAGGTGATTA